AATTTGAATGTAGGGACTTTTTAGGGATTTCCTTTTGATTTGTATGCATTAAATAGTTGGTTTTCTTGGGGTTTGATCATCTTGAATTTGGCTGAAATTTGAGATCTCTTAGATTTAGGTTTTCTTTGGGCTCTAGCGGCGTCTAGAGATTTGGGAGAGATCGATCCTCCTCTCGAATTGAGGATCAATTGTATCTTTTCTATTTCCTTTCATCTTCTAGTAAAATACAAGTTCTTACTTCGTGTTTCTATCGTTTTTTCTCGTGTTTTCCCTACTGTTTTGGCTGATTTCCTGCTGTGGACAGCAGTTTGCTGTGAGATCTTTGGCTAAAGTGATTAGGAAATACTTGGAATCAAGTATTTCCTATCACCTTCATCCAAGACGCTCAATTTCCTCAAGCAAGTTTGTAGCATATTTCTTTAAGAGAGGGAAACGTTTTATTTTTTTTTTTCAACAAGCATACTTAATGCCTATAAAATATTCTAGATGTCCTAAATTTTTAGTAACAAACATCATCTAAAGATGTTTTATTTCATCAATCTCATAATATCATTTCGTATGAGAAAATGCCATCAACATACACATATAATAATCGTGTAAAAGGACGAGTATCGATTAAACATAGAGTGATCAACTGAACTACTTTGAATACCAATATCAGTACAGACCTTATAAAGTTTATTTTGACGTGCACTGATATTTCAACAAGAAGATGGGTGCATCCTAAATATAGGAAAATATAAGGAACAAACTAGAAAGAATTTAATCAAGATAATTGTAAGACCCAAAATATTCAGGTATGAAAATGAAAATTTTATTTAAATATAATCTAAAATGTGTAATTAAAGTTAATATTAATTTTTGTTAAAATTTTATAAACTGTTAAGTTATTGTTTGTGGGGTGTTACAATAATATCCTCAATTATGATCATACATTTCAGTAATAAAATGAAATATTAAAAGATAATAGATTTCCGATATGGTAAAATATCATATGTAGTTTGGAAAGGGAAATAATTAAAACACAAACTAATGTTTAGATATGCTCAACCAGATACATTATGTTGAGGAAAGTAAATTAGATCGCAGCTATCGACATTAATTATTAAATGAAAGAATTTTTGACAGTCATATGCACCAAATGATAGAGACAAGCCAAATATCATAAAAATCTTCTAATTTCTATCCAATGCAGAGATTTAAAACAAGTTGGTTACAAAGTTTCCCCACACGTTACATTTATCTTCTTCCCCTAACCGAGCATAAAAGGCATTTTTTCTTTCTTTCTTATTTTTTTGTTAATGCACTCAACTTTACTAGATATGCTTGTCTCAATGGAAAGTCTTAGGTTGTTAAGAGAAAGCCCTTAAAGAGGCCTCTTTTCACACATTATACAGAAATAAAATACCATATCAGAACACAATATCCAAACCCAGCTGCAGAACATATTCTGAATGTATCAAAAGCTCTGTCTGCAAACTAATGTTTATGGTCAATTCTAAGTCCTGACCTAATTAAGAGTACTTGCTATGATCTCTTAATGAACCAGAATTCAAAAAAATTACAATTTACTGCATTAGCTAAGCATGTATACACTGCAAATTGAAGTTTTGATTCAAATCCACCCAGTAAGATAGAGACCAACCTCAAATCTTTTATAAATAAAAAGTAGGATCCAAAACCAGTGTAAATCTTCCAGTGCTTGTACATGATTTCCCATAATAAAAGAACCAATCTTTCTTGTGTTCTTCTAATCAATGACGAAATCAAATAATTGATGAAATAAAAAAAAAATTCAGGAAAAATATCGCTTTAACACTTAATAATCTCACTATTTCATTAAAAAAAGAGGGAACATTTGCCCAAGAACCAAACATCGTACCTGGACAGGGTGCAAGCCACTCTGACAAGATCCAAGGCCCTCTACAGTAATAATATGCATTCCTTCAACGGAATATAATGGAGCCAAGCATGCATTAACTGCATAATGCCTGCATATTTTACATGGCTGAAAGATATTACAACCGCCAGATTATCACAACTACTATCCAAAATTTATCCAGTTATCCAGATAAAAGCTAGAGTACAACTTTCCACAAAAATATTAAATCTTGGCAAAGTACTTGGAGACTAAAAACGATAGGATGAGTGAATAGAACAGCAAGATCCACGTACCTACATTTCAAAAGCGGGGATGCATGACTGGAGCCACTAACCAACAATAAAAAAGAACTGAGGAAAAATCTTCAAAAATATGCTAAACAACTCTCAACCACAATTCAAATCATCAAAGGGGTGACATGAACCACTAAGAGGAAATGACCTACCGACCTATCAAGTTTCCTTTCATAAGTGGGATGTATGGCTAGACTACAAGCCAAAAATATAAATGAACAAACACAACAAATTAAAGAAAATGTGAACTAAACTTTCGGACACAGCATAAAAGAAAGGAAAATAGGACTAACTTAAAACCGGAAGGCCTAATACATATGAAGTTGTCCCAGACTGCCTATAATCATCTGTTACAGAACTAACCAGACTGGCCCAGAAGGGGCCAGTCCAGTTCTACAGGAGGCAGGCTAAGCCGCCTCCTTAATGTATTTATCCCAGCATGTGGGCCCCCCTTGAGGCTGCAACTGAGAGAGAGAGAGAGAGAGAGAGAGAGAGAAAAGAGCGGCTAGTGCATAAGGAGAGTTTTTGAAATTGGTTTATGTTAGGAAGTTTTTTATTAGGAAGATTTGTACTTAAGGATGAGGAGAGGCTAGGGTTAGGGCATGCAAAATTTTGGATTTCTCTTGGAGTCTCTTTGGTGTTTTGGGCTCTAGGCTTCTTGTCTAGAGATTGGGAGAGAACGATCCTCCTCTCGAATTGAGGATCAATTGTATCTTTGCTTCGTTCTTGTTTCACTTTACTTTCTATAAGACTATCTATCGTTTGATTGTTTTTCCACCAAATTTTCTTCTATTTTCTTGTTGTTTTACCGATTATTGTTAGGTTTCCTTGCGAACTCAAGTATTTCCCATTAGGGTCACTTGCAAACTCAAGTGTTTCCTATCATCATCCCTCAGCAGTGGCAAAGCTATGTTCCCAAACAAGCGCACTAAAAGCATCAAGGAACTAAAATGAGCATTAACAGTGATCTAAGTCTAAAACATCATAGATATATTATTTATGGTAATCTAGCATATAAATGTACTTCAAACTAAGGGATATTACAAAATATAATTCTACCACTCCTAATCAATGCATTGTAAACAAGGTTGCATTTGCAAAATTCAGCCAAAAATCCTCCCACATTCCAAGGGGAATTTCATTTATTGACAGATCTAAAATCACCATCTTACAATTCTTTAGACAGAGAAGTCTTACAGTGTTTCTTTCTTCGACTAGAGTTCCCACTCATTCTTTTCCAATAATTAGAAACTCACACTGATTTCCTTGCAGATCGATCATAATCTGAAACCATTACTGTACAAGCTCCACAACCACCTTCTCCACATCCAAGCTTAGTCCCCGTTAGATTTATTTCTGCATATCATGCAAAAAAGTTATGAGTAAGAATCAGATTAAGGATTCAATATAAACATCAAATACACATCTAACATGTAAGGGTGGCGTTGGGAGGATTAGGTGAAACCAAACCAAATTCGATGAAAGAAAATCAGCAGAGCCATAATTCCCAAGCAAGTCCATGGAATATTTTATTTACCACAAAAAAAAGTCAGTAAAGTTGCAAAGTCTTACTAATGGAATTGATTAGCAGTTGCAATCAGAAATTATACAGTTAAAATCATTTTTAGGGATTACTAAAAATGCAGTTGAGAGATATTAGTTTTAGTTTGTTTAACTTAACATTTTGTGTTTGTGTGTATGTGTGTGTGTTGTTCCATGGATTTAAAAGCTTGGATGCTTCTGTAACGGTGACAATATGATGTTGAACAGAATCAGCTGCTGAAAGCACCAACTTTGACGAATTACAAGCAATACAGGGATTCCCACAAACAAACACTGCAGCAGAATCTCCTCATGAGTTCAGCTTAGCAAGCTTTCTAGAAAAATATCGCCCGCTCTGATAGGAGATGGAGCAAAATGAAAGTAGAAATTTCTTAAAAGCTTAACAAAAACAAATAAAAATCAAAGCTTTATGATAAAATAGCTGAAAATAAGAAGTAGAAACCCAACAGTTGAACCATCAAAAGAAAAGGGTAATACGGATTGATTTTGGCATTGCGTCGCCTACCTCTTAGATACTGCAGTAGAGTGAGGTGAGCCAACCCATCCGGAAGAACACGACGGATGCCGTTAACGTATACGATCGCCTCCGACGACCACCCGTCGTCGGCCATCGCCGACACCTCTAACTCATCCCTCTGCGTGAGCGAACCCATCGAATGATCCTAATCCCCTTCTCCAAACCAAAAAATTAAAACAAAAAATTTTTGAACTATGAACTCCTCCGATTGCTTTCGGAAGCTCTGCCGTGTCCCTCCCTCCCTCTCTCTCTCTCTCGTGTTCTAACTTTTCCCGAGTCGCGATCTCTTCCCACGCCTGACTCGCTAACTTTCAGAAAATTTTATATACGAGATTTGACATCAAAATATTGATAATAATTTTTAAAAATTTAATCAATGAAATTACTTTACAGTCACATTTCTTTTTATTCTGTCAAATTTTATTATTCTATGCTATTTTTCTTGCTCACCTATTTAAAAACATTATCTAGTGGATGGAGCATATCTTGATTATCAAGTGGACCCATGACACAACACCCATTCGCTTCGTGCGCGAGAAGTCAACGAAGTACAGTTCAAGAGATCGCAGCGGAGTGGAGCAGCCGCGACACGAAGTTCCTGACCTTAGCTTGATCTCGTTGGTGCCACCTAAACGGTAGGTCAGCTAGGATGTGTGACGTTTGGAGTTGTCGTCCGTGCACCTGACCCCAATAGAATAATGAGTGATCCGTCCCCCGGAGATCATGGTCTTATTTATATTCAATTTTTAAAATAAAATAATAAATTAATCAATTAAATTTTTAATTTTCAAGAGTATTTCAATTCATATTTAGTTTGTACATCTCAAAATTTGATATATTTAAAATGGTATTTTTTTATAAAATTAGGAATATAATACGAGAAAGTGTGATTTTTTTCCATGACTTTTTGATAATATAAAATTTAAAAAAATATATAATAGTAATCAATATATCTAATATTAATATTATATTAATGATGATGATTCAATGATAAAAGAGAAAATTTTTGTAGGAGCATCAAGAAGAATGATTAAATCTTTATGAGCGAGATTTTCTTGTCTCGTGGTACTAATGCAAAAGCTTTAGCTAAACTAATTAAGATTAGAGATGAAATTTTATCTTATAAATATTGATTAATTGATTCTCTTGCTCTAAATATTATTTAGATACTTTCCTTATCATTATGGGACATTAAAAAAATGTTATGAGAATTATCAATTATGAGTATATAATATACCTTTAAAAAATCATCAAAACATATACATATCCACAACTCATTTGGACCCACCTCAAACATATCCATATCCACAACTCATATGGACCCAACTCAAATATTGAAAAAAATGAAATAATATTTTTTTTCTAAAAGTAATTATTATTATTGTAGGCTAGGTATTCGCAATGGTAGAGTAAGTGAATTTTTCGTTCTAATGATGTATGGATTTTCAGCACACAAATAGATAGTTGAAGAGAGAGCGAAAAGCATAAGAACATTTTTACGTGGAAAACCCAAAAAGGGAAAAAATGCAAGGACTTTCCAAAGTGAAAATATTCTACTATACTTAAGTGAATTATTAAGCTTGAGTGGTCCCATAACTTGGAGATAGTGAAACTACAATAGTTTGGAGAGTTAGTCGAACTTCATATTGGTACACGAGAGCTTATAATGATCGCGAACAGGCGAAAGTTAAGCGGTGATTGACACCTAGGTGGTGGTCTGATGACTGTTGAGCGAAAGTTCGACGGCGGTCGTGTTGAAGTTCAACAGTGATTGCAGCGGAAGTCTGATACCTGTCAGTAGTTAGGCGGCAGTCCGACGATGGTCGAGAGGAAGTTCGATGGTGGTCAACGGCCTAATGGAAGTCCGACGGTAGTCTGCGACCGAACGATGGTCCAACGATGGTCGAGCGGAAGTCTGGCGACGGTCGAGTGGAAATCTGACAACGGTCGATGGTCGAGTGGAAGTTCGACGGTGGTCAGACTATGGTCGGGAGAAGATTCGTTGGTCGTCGACGACCCGTCGGAGGCTGGGCAGTGGTCTGACAATGGTTGACGGAGGTTCATCGACGATGATGCTTGGGAAAAGCTCTAGGTATTTAAAACTTTAGAACTCTCTCCAATCTCCAGCCAAATGTCTCCCTCATGTAGAGAGTGAATGTTTATTTATAAATTTTGAGCATGATATGCCCCGTAAATATGGAGAATATTAGGGTAAACGTGGAGTGCTCCATCAGATTACTCATATTGATCCCCTCGTTTATATAACTTTTTTCGAGTATTTATGTGGCTTGATGATACAGAATTAAAAGATCTTGAGGTCGTTGAATTTGTCTCGTCAAACCGCTCGATTCGACTATAAGCATGTCATATTTGGATATCATTTGGTCATCCAATTATTGCTTTGAACCTTCTAAATGCACTTCAACATCCTTGATTTGGAGTCAGTTGGCTTAGGATTGGACTTGTTTTGATGTCGTTGGTTCGTCTCCTTGAGATGTTCAATTTGACTATAAACTTGTTGAAATCAGAGTTCAGATGGCCACAAATTTAATTTCAGAAGTTTTCAACTGGGATATGCCTCAAGATTCGTGCCCGATCATGACATATTTTTGTGATGCAATTATTGTTGTTATTGTTATTGTTGTTGTTGTTGTTATTATTATTATTATTATTATAGTAAAAGCTGATGAGAGCAATATAGAAAAGAAAGTGTTTGAATTATAGCGCATTGATTAAAAATAAAATTAAATATTTTAAAGAAAATAATTCGAGCACTCATCGTTAAAGACTTAATGAAGATATGAACTGGCTGTCTAATTGTTTTTGAGTGACAATATGATGAACAATAACATTATTGAATTTAATACAATCCTTAATAAAATGATAGTCAATTTTAGAATGTTTTATTATAGCATGAAACATATGTTTTTATCTAGGACAATACTGCTGGAAAAACTAGTATTTCTAACGGCCAAAATTCGCCAAAAATGAACATTATCTGTCAGAAGCATTGACTTTCTTGTAAATTTCCGACAAAAAATGGATCGATGGTAAAATGTGTGTTAAAAATACATTTTTAACGGACATATGTCCACAAGAACTATTTATGGCAGGTTTCCGAAAGAAAGTAGTCTCATAAATGACAGTTCTAAGTCATTGTTTTCGACGGATTTTTCGTCAGTATTTCTTGCATATTATATTCGCCGGAATTATCGACGGTCAAGCCTATTAGAATACATAAAGCTATCATAGTTACGTGTTCTCTGGCTTGTTTGTAATTTACTTACTCTAGGCTTGTTCTCTCTCTATATAAGGACATGTCATATGTACAAAGAAGACAAGATAGACAATACATTTTCTTAGCTTTATCTCTGCTATATGCTTCTTGCTTTCTTCGCTATCCCTGTTTCTACAAAGCCGCCAGTTAATTCTGCCTAGATAACCAGCGGACCTCACCGACGAAATAGCTGCCGGTATTTCCGGCAAAACTATTCCATTGAAAACTTTATAACAATTCGTCGTATCATCTTTACCGACAGATAAGCCGTCAAATACGTCAAAAACTTGTTTCATAAAAAAAAAAACCTTTTCTCTTAAATAATCTACAACACAACAATCCTGCAAATCATATATATATATCATCTTCACATTGCAACTTCGAACATAAACACTAATGCTAAATGTAATAAGATATTTGATTATAAAAAATATCTTATGTAATTATCAAACAGCTCTAAAATAAAAATCAAATTTGTTACATAATAAAAATGGATCATAAAATGTAGCAGATTCAGCCAAAAGATATCAATTGCAAAACATACAAAGAGCAAAAAAACCAATTGCAACATCAACACAAATAGATATTATATATTCATCCCAACATCAACAACAACAATAACAACATCAAACTTTTATCCCACTATGTGGGCCAAAATTAGGCTTCATTTGGGATGATTTTCTGATTACTTCTTAAAATAACTTTTAGTACAACAAAATTTAATTTTTTTACTAAAAAATTATTTTAAGAAGCAGTAAGAAAATCATCCCAAATAAAGCCTTAATATTCAGTTCAATAATGAACCAAAATTACTAAAGCAAACAAACTATCAAAGTGCAAAACCGGCACGAAGCGCAAAACCGAGCAATATATAATCTACCAACTAATACCAAAGGATAATAAGAAGATCCCTAACAGCCAAAAATATTCCAACATATCAAATAGGGCATCCAACTGCAATCAAATCATAGACAATCTAAAAAATTATTTTGTATTAAACTAATTACTTTAAGAGAAAATTTATCTTTGCTCCCATTGAGAAATCAGAACACATAAGAAGTATTGATGTGCTAGTGATACCTAAAAGAAAGAGTTAGAAAAAATATTCTCATATTTGTCATGTTTATAAAGTCCAAAGAGCTGGACTTTATTTGGGATAACTTTTATTATTATTTGTTTTGCTGATTTCAAAAAAAAAAAAATTGCATAAAAAATTATTTTGAAAAACAATAAAAATATTATTACAAACAAAGCATTTAGGCAGTGCGATGTTTCAATTTGTTATTTTGGAGTAGGATAAAAAGAATTATGTAGATATTATTTCTATTTAACAAATAAAGTGTTTAAAAAACTTTTTTTTCCTTTTTACCTCAACAAATTAATTTACAAATGGAATCTCCAAAAGTTTACATTTAGGATGAATTATGTTCAAATGATTAAGTGCTTATTTATTTTGTTGTATTAGGGACAAAAAAATAAAAGAAATAAGTAAATTCTGATATTTTTTAGTGTGTAAAAGAAAGCTAAATAAATGTAAATTATCCTGAAAGCAGTCTAAAATTATAATTTTTAAGCCAATGGTCTTGCATTAATTTCGGAAGATTCCAACTTGCGTATACCTCAAGATTTGTGTTGGATCAAGGCGATTTTTGACAATGGATCAATAATCTTCTTGAAAATGTTTGTTTTATAAAAATATATTTGATGGATTTTAAAGTTATTAAATTAGCTTTGAGAGAAATATAAAATAAATTATTTATATATTTTAGTTATTTTAATATAAATTTTAAAATTCTAAACTAAGTTATAATAATAATCAAAATATATTGACATGACTTTTTTCCTAACATTCATTCCCTTAGCCTTAGAGGATTTGTATATATCATTAAATTTTTTATAATATATATTTAATACTTCCAATTTATATTTATTAGGGGCGGAACCGGCCTTTCATTTTAGGGTGGACAAAATTTTCATATAAATGAATTAAAATTTAAAAAAAAAAAGAGGACATAATTAAAAGTAAAATTTTATATTTTATTATGATAAATAAATTAAAAATTATTACAAGCTAAAATAGGATACTAAATAGGAAAATAGGGTTGCCAATTGCCAAATCTCGATTTTATCGACTTTCTTAAGATCAGACATCATATTGCAAGCGATTGGAGGCTTGGACCTGGGCATGGATTGCAGGCTATTGCAGGCGCTGGGGAAACACCAAACAAGATTTGCGACTGCAGCTCTAATCGTTCGAACTCAAAAATATTTTCAACATTAGAGCTGGCCACAGCTGGCAAGCGCGAGTGAAAGTTTGCGACGGTGGGCCAAAAAATTTATGTCGTTCTACGTTTTATGGGTGGGGAAATAACAAAAATATTCTTAAACAATTTTATTAAAATTTTGAGGTGCCCACCCTCACATAAGCACAAGTACGCCCCTGATATTTATCAATATATTATTTTACTAATAAATAACATAGAAAAAATATATATTTTATTCTTAAATAAAGTCATATTAATTAAGTTAATATAATTATTGGGAACTAGATATATGTGGCAATAGAGTTGGAAAATTTTACATCTTAACTTTGTACGGATATCTAGCACACAAACATAATAAAAAAGGAACACCATAACTTTTATATGGAAACCCCGGAAAAGAGAAAAACCACGGGGCCACGCCCACTTGAAAGGATTTCACTAGTGTTTACTTAGATTACAAGTGGTTCCTTGTCTCTGAAATTGAGGACGATCATATTATAATAATTAACTTTCGGGTTGAAATTCAGTTACAAATGGAGATCGGAAATCCGGCGACGTTCTAGCGGTCGGGTGGAAATCCTGCTTCAATTGACTGTCGGGCAGAATACCGGCATCTGTCGGCTGTCGGGTAGAACTTCGGCTTTAGTTGACAGTTGGGCAGAATTCCGACGTCAGTTGGTAGTCGGGTTGAAGTTCGGTGGTGGTCGAGGAAGAGTCTCTTCCTTCTTTTCCTTTTCTTCCTTCTGTTATTGCTTCCTTAATTCCAACGTTGGTCGTTGCCGGGTGAAAGTCCGGTTGTGGTCGAGGAGTAGTCTCTTCCTTCTCTTTCTTTTTTTCTTCCTTCTCTTCTCTCTTTGCTTGAGGCCCCCCCTCAAGAGAAATGATGGGTTTATTTATAATTTTTTTAGAGTAGTATGACTAGTAAATATGAGGAAGATCAGGAGTAAATCATGAGTGATTTGAATGGACGGCCGACGTTGAATCCCTTGATCATGAACCATTTATTGAGCATTTGAATATCTTAATGATATTAGAATTCGACGATCTTGGGTTCTTTGGATTCGTCTCACCGAGCCGCTCGATTTAATTATAAGCACGCCATATTTGAAAACTGTTTGGTAATCCAAATTATGGATTGAATCTTTCAAATGTGTGTCGGGTCTTTGATTTGGACTCGTTTGGGCTCAGATTGAGCTGAATTTTGTGTCGTTGGGTTCGTATTTCTGAGACGTTCAGTTAGACTATAAGTTTGCTGAAATCGGAGTTCAGATGACCCTGTATTTAATTTTTGAAGTTTTCAATTTTATTTTGTCTCGAGATTCGTGTCTGATCCCGATATTTTTTTGATGATATATGAGTAATTTAGAATTTCAAGTATTACGTAAATAAAATTTTATGGTATGGATGCAAAGCCCCATTTTAAAGAGCATCTAACAAATGGGCTCCGCCACGTAATCAGTAAGTAATCTGCAACGGTCGAAAAATCCTTCCAACGTTCACAAACCCTCTTGAAGCCACTTCGTACTTCTCAGCAGCCATCGTAACGCGTCTTATCTATCTAATCTCCATTTCTTTCCTTCTCTAGCCTCATCTTCTCACTTTTCATCCCAATCTCTCCAAAGAACGCCAATGGAACAAGTCGAAATTGACTGGAAGAACATCGTCTCCCATTACGAGCTCGACGAGGTTTACGAGCGCATCAACGCCCCCAAATGGATCGATTTCTCCGCCCCCGATGCCGCCGTTGATGATGTCGCCTGGTTTTGCCGCCCTGATTGCCGCCATCCCATCACATACGAGGATTTTGACCGTTGGAACCCTAGCCCCAAGGTCCAACTCTGTTTCTTCCTCTCTGATTCCCTGTTCTAAACTCGGAACTCCTCCTCACTTGCTCTCCATTGCCTTATTCGGATTTCAGGTGAAGCTGTTGAGATCCAATTTAGACGCCATTCAAGCTGGCAACCAGAGCAACAATCAGAGGTAAGATCTAAATTTCAAAAGAAACAATCAAGATTTAATCTTGATGCATTTGTATGGTCTGTTCATAGGAATGCTAATTTGAAGATGCGAGGTGGAATTGCTTCATTCTTCCCATCGCCGAGTAAGCACAAATTAAATTCTAGAAATGTCAGTGAAGATCTCGAGAACCAGAATCCGAACATGGAAACTACTCCGCTGATGATGAAAGCAAAGAAAATAAATGCTGCGGCGAAGAAGGAACCCATTAAATCTAGCGCAGAAAAGAAGGGGGGTGTTGCTGACGAAGAGATGAGAGAAACCCCAAGGAAAGTATCGCCACCTCGGCCTCGCCTTAAGAGCACTTTCTCAGCGAGGAATCTTTTCTCCGGGAAGGATATCTTGAGCCAGATTTCTGAGTTCTGCCATGAACTGAAGAAGCTGGCTGCTGGAAAAGATTCAGCTGCCATTACCGAAGAGGAGAAGAAGGACAGGATGAGGAAGATATTAGAAGAAGACGGTAAAGCTGCTTCGAAAGAGAATGCGGAGGAAGAGAAGGCACTGATTTCCACCAAGTAAGTAACGGTAAAACATTTTAAGGATTTTTTATTTTTTTTTGGGAAAATCATTTTAAGGATTTTAAACTGTGGAGAAGAAAAAATGAATTAGGATATTTGATTATATTTTGATAATCTTGCGATCATTTAATTTATTGTGTTGAATACAATATATAAAAAAACAATCAAATTTATATTACACATATTTTTAAATAAATTTAACAACTTTAAATACATATAATGTTTTTGCCCTTATCTTTTACTAAAAATAAAAAATTTAAGTGCTAAAATAAAATCCTTCTATGCATGTTGATCCTTTTCAATAAAAAAAAAAATCCATTTGTATTATTACTTTTATTTTATTTTTTTATTTTGAGCAAATTAAATTACAAATTCATACACATATTATACAAGCTTTGAATTGGAAACTTCTTGATTGGGAATCCAAGTCAATGTATAATACAAGTTAATAAGTGACGTATTAGTAAAAATATTTAGATTTAATGATAGAAATTCTGCTGTAAATCTCTAAGATTTTGTTTGGAACAGCTTTTAATCACTATTTTTAGCTTTTTTTTATTTAAATTATACTTGAAAGTAGTAAGAAAACTATTCCCAATGAAGTCTAGAATTATGGGGCTGTTTGGTAGAAAGATTAAGGTGGGATTTGAGTGAGGCCTAAAATGCAAAACCAGATCTCACGACAAATGCAAGCCGCAATAGACAGAAAATTCTGCCTTTTCGTGCTAAATCCCGGATTTCCAAAATCTTATTTTTTGCCTGATTTATGTAATCGAGTGGCTAGAGAGGAGTCCGCTTGTTAAATTATTTTTATAGCCAAACAGTCACACATGATTTAATAAAATTTATCATGAATGTTAGAAAGCAGTTTTCAAAATTTAGGCCCCTCATGATTTCCGAAATCCGGATTTAAAAGATTTACGAAATCCTACTTAAATCAAATCTTGGGTGCTACCAAACAGCCCTCTATATGTGACTAAAGCTGTATACATCTCATCTTAATCTAATTTCCTTTCCAGTCTAAAGTATTTAGCTATCTGTGTAATGAATTGTAGAAAAACAACCAGCCTGAAGAAGAAATGTAAACTGGCAGTAAAGTTTGAGGGCAATGAAGAGAAGAAAAGCAAGATTCTGAAAGAAGCAAGAGCTCGCCCTCCAACTCCTCAACGATTTCCTTCGCCTTCCAGTCACCATCATCATCAGCTCAAGAGTTCAAAAGCCTTTGCAAATTCTATATCTTCTTCCTCACCTCTCAGCAAAATTCCTAAATCCAAAAGTCCAGTAAGTTCAAAGCCTGTTTGGATTAACTTCTAATAATTATAGCTTTCCATCACATTTGATGTTTTATAAATTGGATGAGAAGCAGGATAGAGGTGCGCTTCAGGAGCTGGATCAAAGAAGGGAGAAAAAGAAGCTTGAATTGATTACAAAGAGTGAAGAAGAATGCAACAGAGCTTCTGTTGTTTCTGAAGCAGAGGAGAGTACAGTTGATCTGTTCTGGTTCTTGAAGTCTTGCACTTATTTAGGTTGATTTTAATTTCATTGGGATTATTAATAGTTTGACAGGCCTTATTTATTCATTTTTTAATTTATAGGTGATTATTTAATAGTTATGTGTTTGAAAATTTTGTTTATTTTCCAAGCTTTTGAAGAAAATAAAAATGTTAAAGTCAAGCATTCTACATCTACATTTGTTATTATCATAGATTAATTCATTTGACCTAATTTAACCTCAAATTGAGCGACCTCGCGGTGATCAAGTTCTTCACTGTATGAAACAGTGTAGTCAGAAGAATTTCAAATACTTCAAAATTTTACTTTGCTCTCATTTTACCGCATACAAAATACTTTCAAAAATCAAGATCAACACAAGCTTTTGTGCCCTATAATACTTTCAACCCAACAATTGCTAAGGTTTGTGTTAGAACATAAGAGAAATTTGAGCTCTTCTTGAGCTTCTTGCAAGAGAGAGAGAGGGGGTAGAGAGGGAGGAGAGGGAGAGATCACATATTTTAGGAGGAAAATTAACCTAAAGTTTTATTTGATTTTCTCCAAATTATACATCAGCCTACAATACCTATATTATAGACATTTACATTATTGTGATATCTTGTGGAACGATTTAACGTAAAATTGGACTAATCCTAACTGTTTGTTTTTAGTCATTTATAGCTAATTGAATAGCTTAAGCTTAACATCTAATTAAACAAATTTAAGCATAATTCATATTGTTAATTTAGGTTTGTGAATTTACTTGTATGTTTGCACAAGTAACTCTTTAAGAATTAGTTATTATATTGATTTGCTACTTATTTATTTTTTATATTCTTTAAGTTGTATTTTTGTATTAATTTTTTTTTTTTTTAATATATGCTTCATTCATTCATATAAAGTATAGTTTACTGATAAAATTAGTATTGATAAAGAATGCTATAGCTTTATGTATTATGGCCTCAAATAACCATTTGATTATTTTTTTTAATGTTCATTTGGCTAATCTAATTTTGGATCAAAATATAAGCACCTAAGCTCTCCTCTCCTACATGGCTCAAAAAAAAATTTTTTTTTTGGGACATTAGGCCATTTAAGGCAAACTCACACACATAACGCATACACATGGACTCGAACCTTGGACCTCTTAGTTGTAAGCCTAAGCTTTCAACCAATAGGCCAAGGGGAGCTCAATTTAAATGTGAGAATGATTTGATTTTAGTCAATTCAACTCCGACTCAAAAGTGATTTAAATTTGCATAATTTTTTTACTCAAAATCATATGGCATCTCAAATTAATAGTTCAAGATTCCTTAAGAAACTATTGTCAAGAGGTCTCTTCATCACAAGAAAATATAGGTGTGGACTTCCTTTATGTATAAAACTAGAGTCAAATTAGGGGTGTCAATATTTGACACGTCCCGAAAATCTGACTCGAACCCGACCTGAAAATTTCGGGTTAGGGTCAACTCGAACCCGAAATGGGTTGGGTTCGGGTTCAACATTTCAACCCGTTTCAAAAATCGGGTCGGGTTCGGGTTAACCCTTTGACCCGAAATTGCCCGTTTTTGACCTGAAAAAGAGGAGATAGACCCGTTTTGTCCCGAAAACTAGCAATTTTTTGTTGGAAACGGGTCGTGTCGGGTTGACCCGGACCCGAAACGGGTTGGGTTCGGTCAAGAAAACTGACCCGTTTTCAAAAAAATGGGTCGGGTTCGGATTGACCCGAATAGTACCGAGTCAGTTTCGGGTTCGACCCGAACCCGACCCGTGACCCGAAATTGACACCCCTAAGTCAAATGTTGTCCAAACCCAAACTTGAAAAATTAGCCCAAGCCATTTCGATAAGCTAATAAACTCAAAACCAAACTAGATTATGCCCAAAATACATAATGATCATCAATTTAGTAATAGAGATATTTCATTTGGAACTAAAGTGTCATTCACGATATTTACCCTAAGGTTTTGTTTGGGGCAACTTTCTTGTTGGTTCTTAAAGCATCTTTTAAAATTTTTGTACTAAAAAGATGTTTTAAGAAACAATAAGAAAGATATTCTAAACGAGGCCGGTTTCATTGAGAACCCTCTTTCTTTGCAAATTTATAATAATAGAATATGTTGATGGTGAAGATGAGAAATTCAAATGTAGATCCTTCATGTGATTGTGGTGTTTATTATATTTAATTAGTTTATATTAGCTTTAATTAATATAATTAAATTATAATTAATATAAGTATTTAACTTGACCATTAATTAAATATTTCTCAAACTAATGAAATTATAAATCTCATTTACAAAAAATTAAATTAAAAATAATTTCAATTTACGATTTCAGGTAAAACGGAGTAAAAACGATAAAAACAGGAAGATCTAAGACTTGATTTTCTACCGTTTAGCAGTATTTAGCTTGAATCCGGCGTACGTCCTGCTTAAATACTGTAAGTAAACTGCCACTTACAGTTCATGTTTTTTTTTAGAGGCAAGAAGCCCGTAGAGAGCGGATAACCATCGCATAGCTTTTGAAAGGAGTTTGCGTAACTATGTTCTTTCACATTACGTTGGAGAGGAATATGCAGCTCCACCCTCGCCATTTTGGCCCTCATCTTCGCGACAAGCTCGTTGCGAAACTCATGAAGGACGTCGAGGGTACTTGCAGGTTTATTCCACTCACTTCCCCTCCTTTTAATCCGAAAGCTTTAAACCCTAACGTGTGTCAAACTCTCGCTTCGGAGCAGCGGAAGGCATGGGTTCGTCGTGGCGATAACAAGCGTAGAGGACATTGGAAAGGGGTTGATACGTGAGGGCACGGGCTTTGTCACTTTCCCTGTAAAGTACCAGTGCGTCGTTTTTCGCCCATTCAAGGGGGAGATCCTTGAAGCCGTCGTCACTATGGTTAATAAGGTCGCATTCCTTTTCCCCTTCAAAAGAATGTGGGGAATTTTGGTTGTTCCTCATATGTTCAAATGATTACAATTTGCATTTTTGATGTTCTGGCGTTCTGCAGATGGGTTTCTTTGCTGAGGCTGGTCCTGTGCAGATCTTCGTGTCAAATCACGTGAGTGTTGCTGTTTGATTAGGATCATGGTTTTGCATTGAGTTTCCAATCATGATCAGTAGCTGGGCTTGTGTCTTTGATCAGTGAAATATTAACATCTTTATTAATCTTAGTTGGTTTTTCTTATGTTCCCTTCTCAGCTCATCCCAGATGATATGGAGTTTCAGTCGGAAGATGTGTCTAACTACACAACCTCTGATGGCTCGGTGAGCTCTGATCTTTGTTGGCTTTGCTCATATTTTATCTGTATTTGGCAAGTGAGCGGACACAATGACTTAATAAGATAACAACTTTCTAAACTTCCCCATTTTTTGAGGTGATCCTTAGATTAAGCTGAGTTGACTTTTACTTACTTGCTTTGGTACTAATTTTTTGAGAACTGTGGTATGGAGAGAGTTTCTTTGTGATACATCCCATTACATTGAGAAAAAAAAAAAAACTTATTTCAAATGGAAAGGATGATTATTTCATTTTTCATGCTTTTTTTTAATTTTTATTTACTTTTGATGAACTTGCTAAATTGAATTCAAACTACATTTCATTTGCTCTTTTTTTTTTCAGTTATTGGCTTGTAATGTTTTCTAACAATATATTAGTAGTAATTTGATTTCTTGCTATCTTTAAGCTTTATCTATTTAGTTTACACTATTTACTTTCAGGATGATTTATGGCAGAAACACACTAGAGGATGCAAGTTTATTTTAAAAAAACATTCAGTAGTCTCTGTGATCCTCCTTCTTGTCCTGTAATGGGATCTTTTAGCAATGAATTCTATACTTTATGAATATAGTGTTGGAGATTCCTCTGCACAGTCTCTATCACCATGATGGCCTTCTCAGTTAGTTTATTGAAGAAGTGCAACGAGGAGGAAAAACATGGTGAATTGGACTTTGCTATACTTGGTTTGCCTTAGTGGTATTATAACATGATGGAGAACTTAACGATGATTATTACTGACGAGGCGGACATGAGAGAGGTGATATATCTTGAATATGAGGTTGTGAAAAGAGAGGCATACTGTAGGAAACAAGCTTGAGTGATTAACAAAGGTGGCCTTGCACTTAGCAAGGGATATGTGGTGTAAATGGCTTTGCATAATAGTTTAAAATATATTTTTGGTGATTCCTAACCACAACCATGTCAATTTGGTTTTAATATGGCTATTCACTTTGAAAGACATGTTTGTTTGCGATGCTAGCAAGCTTTTTTTGCTGGTTCTACATCTTTTTTCTGTAATTTGCCTGATTTTTTGGCGTGTTGCTCTTCATTGTTCTTCTAATTTAATTATTTTTGCACTTGCTATCACATAGTTCATATTTCAGCTATTGTTTTTGTCAGTCATATCATCCTTTTCCTTGCTTTTTCTTATACATTACTTGCTGCTATATTTTCTCTTGTTCTCTATTTATTCCTTTAAAATGAATCTCTCTCTAGAATCCTATCACTAGCATGGAACATCATGTGGATCTATATTTATTCAGAGTTTAGTTCAGATGTGTTAATGAGCCACTTGGTACATGCAAATCTGATATTTTATCTCTTTAATATTCATAGGTCAAAATCCAAAAAGATAGTGAGGTGCGGTTAAAGATCATTGGTACTCGAGTTGATGCCACGGAAATTGTAAGTCCCTCTTCCTTTTTAGAAGTTTTCGCAATTGTTTTTTTTATTTGGAAAAGCTACTATTTGTTAATGAATAAATTTATCCACTTCGTTCTATTCTAATTAATTTTTCTAAATTTTAATTGGGGTGTTCCTATTTTTTTAATTGAATACAACATTGAGAATAGTGTACTATCTCGTAAGATAGAAATAATATTTTATAATGGATTCATATACAAAAATAGGGTTTTAAAAATCTTTCACTTTCGTAATCAAATATAGATAGAAGAATAATATATTGTCTCGAAAGACAGAAATGTCATTCTAAAATAGAATTTGAAATATTAAAGTAAGGTTTTAAAATTTTAACTGAGTCAGATTTCAAATAAGTCCCCGCCCTTCGAGAATATAACCCTAAATTTTTAATAAAATGTCAATTCAAACATAAAAATTCTCTCTATAATATTAAATCTCAACATAAGATAGACTGGAGTGATTCTGGGTGGTCTCAGAATATTATAGTGCTATCTATTTTTCATCATTTGGTTAAAAAAAAAAACGGTTCAACATTGAACTTATCTCCTTGAAAATTTTAAAAATCTCTAATCCTTGTCTCAATCTTTGAAATCTATGAAAATATTTGTCACTACTTTAATCGAGAGTATTTTTGAGAGAATTTATTTCTCTTGAGATATAATTAACCATAAGTGTTTTCCTTTATGAGAGACTAGTAACTCCATATTAAAATAAACCTTATCTTTTTCTTATAAGATAAAAGGGAAAAATATTTGCTAACGTAGACATTTTTTCATGTAGAAAATCATTTTTCACCTTTTAGGGAGATATGATCATCGTTGTATTTAATAATTAAATTGAAAAGCTTTCAAACATCACTTTTGTCTTTTAAATATTATTTTAGAATGATATTTCTATCTTTTGAGATAATATGTTATTCTTCTATCTGTATTTGATTATGAAAGCAAAAGATTTTTAAAACCTTATTTTTGTATCTGAATCCATCGTAGAATATCGTTTCCATCTTACGAGATATTATTCGCAATGTTGCACCCAAATCTATCTTATACCACATTGTGGTCTGCATTACTAAGCAGTATTTAGCTTTTTTATTGCTCTATAGTTGCCTTTATTTGTCATTTTAAATTTCATGTCCAAATTTTACGAGTAATTTTTCATTGTGTCTGTATCTTTACTCTTCAAATTTTAATTTTGCAGTTCTCCATTGGCACTATCAAAGATGATTTCTTAGGCGTCATCAATGATCCTGGTGCAGCTTCCTGAGACCCTTTTGGTTATTCTGCATCATTCAAACAACAATATTAAGTTCTTCGTCTTCCATATCGCATTAAGTTCAATTTTGATTTCCCAACCTTTTTCTGATTGGAAACTTTCCTGTTATTGTAAGAACAGGTCTCTGTTAATTACCTTGACTTAAATTTTGTTTGTTGAATAAATAGGACGAACAGGAGCAAAGCTTGGTTTGAATAGATTGTTTTAGCCTATTAGATTTTTTTTTTTCTTTCTTCTGATGAGTTTATTTAAAGTTGATTGTTTCATTTGCAAAATGCTGATTCTTTTAGCTTTTTCCTATTTTCTTTATTAAGAGTAATTTAGTTCAAATTAAATTAGGGGGTAAAAAAATATTCAATCTTTTATCTCTTTCATATTTTCTTTATTTTAAGAGTAATTTAGTTTAAATTATATTAGGGGGTAAATAAGTCAAGCCTAATTTAAATCCCCCTAAATTTAAGCTTGAGATTGATTAAATAATCAAGCTTAAACTTGATCCAAAAAGAGAATCGTTCTTATTCAAATCATTATTATAAGAGCATGATGAAAAATAATAAAATAAATAAAAAATAATAAGAAGTAATTTGAGATTGAAAATAAAGATTACTTTTAAATGTTTTAACAATTTTTTGTACAATTTTTTAATTTTTATATTTTTTATATAAAAAATATATTTAATATTAATGTTTTTAAATAAGCTTATTTAAGAGTTAGGATTGGCTCAAATTTGATGAGTGCCATTTCTTGAAATCGACGTAATTACATGCTTAAATCAAATAATGAACGTATAAAATTCTTATTTCTTGCTAATTTATCATTTTGTAGATTTTATATAAACGTCATGCTCTTTATGGAGATATAGCTTGTTCAAAGAGAAAACGCTACTCATTCCAAAATTTTCAATCTAAAATCATCTTTGCTTACAAATAGAAATCTTACAATTTTCCTATTCCATCTATATTTGAAATCTGCTTACTATGGAAGCTATACATTTATTAAGAGATTTGATGAAGAAATATAGAGAAAATAAGGATGATCTAGATATGATATTTATTGATTTAGAAAAAGAATATGATAAAGTTCCAAAAGAAGTGCTATGGAGAGTTCTTGAAAAGGAGCCAATAATGCTTATATTCAAATCATTAAAGATATGTATGAATGAGCTATTACTTGTGTTCAAACACACAATGAATTGATCAAGTATTTCCCTATTTCGGTTGGGTTATATTAAGGATTTAAGCCCATATCTTTTTGCTTTAGTCATGAATGTTCTCACTAGACATTTGTAAGAGGATGTAACTTGGTGTATGCTTTTTGCTGATGATATTCTTCTTGTTGATAAGACTAGAGAGTGAGTTGAAAGTAAACTTGAATTATGGAGGTCAACCTTAGAGTCTAAAGGTTTTGGCTTGAGTAGATCTAAAACGGAATATATAGTGTAATTTTAATAGTAAAAGACCTAGTGAGGGTATTGTGACTTTCGGCGATCAAGTCATTAATAAGAGTACACATTTTAAATATCTTGGATCTATTGTTCAGAATAATAGTGAAATAAATGGGGATATTATAAGCAGAATTCAAGTTGGATGGTTGAAGTGGAGGAATGCATCGGGCTTGTTATGTGTAGAAATGTACCCCTCAAACTTAAGAGAAAATTCTATAAAATGGTAGTGAGGCACGCAATGCTTTATGGTGCCGAATGTTGGCCATTAAAAGAGAAGCATAATACTAAGTTAAGTGTGGCAGAGATGAGGATGCTCAGGTGGACGAGTAGCTTTACCCTTAGAGATAGGATACGAAATGAGCATATGCGTGAAAAAGGTTGGAGTACCTCCAGTAGAAGATAAGATTAGAGAGAATTGCCTTAGATGGTTTGGTCACATAAAACGACAGCCTTCCGATGACCCGGTTAGGATAGTAGAGGTATTAGATTTGACTTACGTTAAGAAAGGTAGGGGTAGACCTAAAAAGACTTAGTTGAAAAATATTAGGAATGACCTTTCTTTATTAGATTTAAACGAAAATTTGACTTTTAATAGGACACAATGGAGAAAAAGGATTCATGTAGCCGACCCCACGTAGTGGGATAAAGGCTTGATGATGTTGTTGTTATTGTTGCTGTACTCATAAAAAAATCAAAATTGTTAAAAAATAGGTTTTATTTGAGACTACTTTCTTGCTAATTTATTTTTTATGATCTATAATTACAAATTTTGATCGTAATTACCCAATAATAATAAATATTACTTGTTTAATATGAAACATAAGTTATTCATGAGAAATAGTAATCGTAATTACCCAATTTATTTGGAGCAAAATTTTTTCTGTTTTATTTTTCATTCGATTGGCCACTATTTTATTGTTATTTTTAAAACATTTTTGAACAAAAATGCTGCTTTATACAATAGCCTTAAAAATTACTTTCCCTATATCAATTTTATATAGTAAAAAGAATGCCAATTTATTTATTTTTACTAAAAAAATTACTTTTTAAAATGGCAAGAAAAATAAACTAAAGAACCTCAATTTTGTATCTTCTTGACGGTTAGTGGGCAATGACTTCTGTGATAATATAATTCTGAATATACTATATTCTAAGAACTCTATACAATCATTAAAATTTTCAATATCTTTAATCTTAATGATTTGCCGATATTTAGGAGATCTTTTCTATGATTATTTGAAATAAATTTAAAAATAAAATTGCAATAGGAAAATGAACTTACTCAGCTAATTTTGATTGAGGTAGCTCAAAATCCTTTGACTTCAAACTCATAAAGAGCAAGTAGTTGAGCAACACTTCACCATTTTTAGTTTTGGTTGGGCAAAATTTCTCATGATTCTCAATTAGAAAAATTATTTCTCCTATGGTGCTATTTAATCTTTTGGAAGATTCAAAATGGTTGAAAAAGATGATTTTTGAAAAGATGTATGGATTCATAATTTGCCTTCAACTAAGGTTTACCCTAATATTTTCAAGCTTAGAACTCTACTTGTTTGGTGAAATCTAAATACTCTTCTACTGACTCACATCTTCATCTCGGTCGTTTTCACCAATTTCATGATCTTTACTTGATGATTTTGAATAAGCTTGATTTCAAATTTTGACTCTTTGAAATGGATGATCTTCAATTTTGTTCATACATCTTATAAATTAAAATAGGAAGCCTTGGTTCCTTGGAAAGAAACTTAGCTTAGATGGACCATTTTTCTGTGAAAGATCCCAAATAAACTTCTAATTTAAACACTATCATTATTAGATCACATACCCTTGATGAAAAAAAGAAGAGTTTATTAGTAGTCGATAATCAATATAAAATTTGTCAAACAATTATTATATGAATCCTTGTTCAATTTAGTGGGATAAAGATTTGATATTGTTGTGTTTAGTGTGCAATTCTCTTTTAGATGATAATGCTCACATATTTCTCAGTTGTAGCTTCTCTCTCTCTCTCCCCTTAACTCTTCATTTTCCTCCATTTGCTAAATACATCTAGGACATTTTTCTACTCTCAACTCTTTGGAACATTGGACAAGAAAGGAACAATATATGCTTTTTCAAATTCTCCATGGGATGAAAAATCAATATGGTCCTACACATCATATCAAACTTACTTTTGGATGAATTTTAGTTATATAAAGACGGCCTAATAAAATTTAAGGAATAGAATCCACAAACATTCAAGACAAATCACTCATTTTATAAAATATAGTTTATCATATATTTTCAGCATTGTTGTATTCCTTCATGTTCTTATAACTATATAACCTTAATGAAAAGAAATTTCACATCCTTGTTTTTGTGAATAATTTTCCCATCCTTTCAATAAAAAAATATGTGAGCAGCATTTTTCTTGAGAAGAAAGAAGAAGAAATTTATGGATTGCATATGCTTTTAGTAGAAAAATAGAAAATAAACATATGAAAGTTTCGATCTTGGCCTAGTAGTTTTTTACTTCCTCTCCCACATATAACACAGATTAAACATGTTTAGAAAATGTGTTTGAGTTTTGTAGTTATGTCAAGCACTCTTAGAAAAATAGTTCAAAATGTAGATTGTTGTAGAGAGAGGAAGAAGCAAATCAGAAAAGAGGTGCACCTTAGATTTGTGTCCTTCAACCAATCTTTTCTCGTACATCACACGCCTCTTACATAGCACTACATACAGAGAATGAGATGAAAATATGTCGACTTTCATAGTTATGAGAATTTCCAGGTAGAACAAAATGGAATTTAAAGATTACAAATATGTATGAGAGAGAGAGAGAGAGAGAGGCACCTGAGACCTGCGATGCAATTGGATATGGTGATTGTAGTTGTGAAGATGATTCTTATAGCACCTGGCAGGAAAAAGAGCAGAGGGAGACGAAATCCAATCATTGATAGCTGTGGAAATGGACGTGAGAATAGCAATCGTAACAACATTAAAACACACTATCAAATGAAGCCTTTAATGTGATGAAAGCAAACAATACTCCGAGACTCCACAACAGTTTCAACTTCAAAGAATTTCTCATCAAACAAGAACCAACAGGAGTACACAGAGCCAAGTTCTCAAAATTAACAACAATACAATGTCATCAGAGAAATCTCAGAGAGAATAGTTTACCTGAAAAGGAAAAAGCTGCAGCCCTAAGAATAACTCAAAAGGTTAGGTCGAAATTAATGAAAAATTTGACAAAAAGATTGCTGATTTTATCTCAGCATTTTATTTTCTTAATGCAAGAGGTGAATAAGCTGCAAGTCTTATTGCATCCTGCAATGCCAGAAAGAGATATCACACCCAAAAAAAAAGGAAAGAGTTTGGCATCCTTCACCAAATCTCCTTCAATGTTCTTTTGATGTAAAAATGTAACCTGCATATATAGTATAATTCTCAGGCACAAAAAAGAATCCCGAACACACATTGCACTGTTACTTCAGTGTTTCCTATATCTGAGAAACGTCCACAAAAAAATGAATACAAGGAAAATGAAGGCAGCCATTCAGATTATTCATGAAGTTTCGTCCAATCTCATTCACACACTTCCTCCCAGTTATCAACTTCATGGCCTACACCGACATCCACAGCTCCTCTATCAACTAAAGATTCATCAGCCGGGCTACTCCCTGCTCTGCCACTTGCAGACTCCGTCATTGCATCATCAAAATCAAGCATATTCCACCTGTTGACTGTCGTGGAGATAGGATTCTCCTCATTCCTCTTCCAGACAGGTATGGCTAAATCTGCCCCAGAAGACCAATCCGGTCCCCATGAATCTGCCTGTGGAGCAACAGCCATCTTCCATGAGTTGCTTTGTGCAGCTCCTCCCCATGCATTGCCGCCGGTTGCTGTCGCAGCAGAAACCCCACCGGTCTGCATCATAGTAACTGCACCCTGATAAGGAGAACCATGTTCTAGGCGTCGCAATGCGGTTGCTGCCCTCACAGGATCACTGAAAACAGACAAGGCATTCTTATCATTCAACCAGACTAGCTCACACTCTCCGCCAAATCTCAGGACCAGAGCACTTATATCAGCATCCCTCGGCAGGTCCAGCATTGCAACCACAAGCCTGGGATCCATATCTATCAAGGGATCGTAGGCCGGGGGTTGAGAAGAATTCACTGGAACACCAGACTTTGAGCCAATAATCCGAGCAGGTGGCTTTGATTTGGGCGTGACATGAACTACAACGAAACGCTTTGGCTCCCAGCCAGCAGCCTGGACCGAGAGCTTCCACCGCTCGGCTATGTATCGCACCGCATCTCTTTTCTCCTTGACCATGTGGCAAAAGACATGGACCTTCACATTGCTCCCACTGCCAGGTTTGGATTTCCCCAGAACCATGAATTTGAATCTATCCTCAATGGCCACAACCCACTTAGGCTCCCTCCGCATAAGGTCAGAAAGCACCTCTGATGCTCCTGAACTCTCTCCAAAATGAAGAGAGTCTAGGTTTGGTTGAGTCACATCAAACGCATCTGCGAGCTGTTTCTTCCTCGCCGCCTTCTCACATTCGGCGTCACACGCCAACTTCCTCTGCCCAAGTGGAACCTTCCTTCCATTAACATCCAGGGGCTGTAGCGAAGCCGGCAGCTTCTGTATAACAGAAGCTTCAAATAAAGCATCATTACTGAAGCTGCTAGAGCTAGATCCAGCACCACAGGGCACTGTTGCTGTTACCCTCCCACAGGAACATGAGATTGTTGTAGCAAAGTCACACCTTCGCTCAGGACATGCTGATGAAGGGTGGCAGGGAGTGATGCAGGTGTGTTTACAATCCCTTCTAGGAGCTCCGCAGACCTGCCCACAAGAAAACTTTCCTTCTAACTCCGACGCAGCAGATGAATCACAAGGAGGAGGATGGCAAGTCCTGGCACAGGCATGGATTCCACACTGCCTGGTCTTTCCGCAGAGCTGATTACACCGAATGTCTTTGGAACCACAGGGAATGTTTCTCAACATAACATGGCCACCAATGCATTCTTTCAACACAGGAATAGTGCAGGGAGGGCAATCGCCAAAATGGCAGGAGTGGGATGCTGGGTGGCCACAAGGCTGAGGCATTGAGCATGGATGTGGGCATGATGGCATTGGCGTGCCGCAGGGGATTGGAGGTGGAATTGTGGTCTTTCCACAAGCACAGCTCAAATCAGTGAATATGGTCTCAAGACATGGCGGGCAATGACCACTATGACATAGCAATTGGCACGAGTGGTTCCCACACCGCAGCCGCTTGCCACAGGGCACTGGGCAAAAATGGGGATCCCAATGGCCACCGGAAATCTGGTCGTCGCCTGACTTGGACAATGGACAGCAGCGCTCGCTACAACGGTGTCGACCGCAATTCTTTTTCCGGCCACAGGTTCTCTCACAAATAAAGCTGAACTTGTCATCGAACAGCTGGTGACACTCCACAGTCTGGCGTGAAGAGCCACACCTGCATCTCTGCTCAACGAGGACAGAGCAAGGAGGGCAGTTTCCTTCATGGCAAGGTATCTTACAGAAATGGGTCTTGCAAACAAGAGGCTTCCCACACACGTCGGAGCAAGTTGGGATTGGGTCAAGGCAGCTTTTCCTCTCCCCAACAAGGCTCATCTTTCCACAATGACACGCTTTAATCTTTGCAGGCAGCAATTCACATTCACCGCAAGGACCCGGGTGACAATTCTCTTTACAGAGATGGTTCCCACATGACAGGCTCCTACCGCAATGCAGATTACAGGAAAAGAGGCCAATTCTCTCATTAAACTCCCCTTTCACCGCCATATCTCCGCATAGAACCGCTTCAGTCTTCTTGCCGCAGAAGCAACTGGCGGTAATAAGCTCTTGGCATGAATCACAAGATCCAGCATGACACGGCCGCTCACAGTGGTGACGGCCACATGTTAGTAATCGGTTGCATGGCTGTCCGCAGCTTAACGGCACACGCCGTTCTGAGCAGCGACGAACAATCTCTGTTTTGCCGCAGGGGCATGTTTCACGTGGAGCAAAAGCCTTACACGGGGGACAGGGGCCGGGGTGACATTGGAGGACACAAACATGGGGGCACCGGAGATCCTCTTCCCTATCAGCAACACCCTTTATGCTCCCATCAGGTGGCAGCAAGGAGGCTCGATCCAGCGGCTTGCCGCAGGGCTCCCCACAAGAGTGGGGGGTGAGATAAAGATCATTGGGCGGATCATGCCGCTTGCCACAGAAGCACGTGTAGGAGAGTTGACCCGCCGGAATGGACTGAGGGGACTGGCACCCAGGGCAGCGCCAATCCCCGGAGGAGGTGGGGGTAGGATCTGCCGCGGAAGTTGGGGAGCGTGCCCACTTACGTACGCAGTGGAGGTGAAAGATGGAGTAGCAGGCGGGGCAGGACCACATCGGGGCAGATCGCCGAACCATATCATAACAGATCATACACTCCACAGTCCCACGGGAGAGCTTGTCCTGGATTTCGTAGACCAACTGCGGAACGGATGTGTTATCCGTCGCCGATCGTCTGGAAGGTCGGGGTTGAGGTTGATCGTAATGATGTAAAGGGGCGGAGCTGCGGGGAACCCATTCTTGTCGGTTCGTGGCAGCGGCGCGAGGTCGCTGGCCGGCGGAGGGCAGTCGGCGGTTGGTGGAGGAGGAGCTCATATAGCTTGAAGGAGATGGTGGGTGTTGCTGATCGGAGAGAGAGGATTGAGCCCCCGTGCCTGGAGACTTCGTGGTTCGGTTGAGTTCGAAGGTAAAATCCTCTTGACGGTGCCTAACCCTAACCCTAACCCTAATGGAAAATTGGAAATGATGAGGCTTTTTTTTTTATTGAGATTGAAGGGGATAAGATCACCTATTTAAGGGCAAATTATTGGGTCAGGTGACCGGAGCCAAAAGATAAGTTCGGACAACCAATAAAAATTTGCCGCGTCACCTTGCGCTTTAGTTGCGCTTTTTGACTTGCGCTTTAGTTGCGCTTTGGTTGCGCTTTAGTTGCGCTTTGGTTGCGCTTTAGTTGCGCTTTGGTTGCGCTTTAGTTGCGCTTTAGTTGCGCTAATTTTAAAATAATATTTTATTATTATCCGAACCTATCTCTGCGTTCGGTCACCTGACCCAATAATTTGCCCACATATTCGTATTAATAATATCTATAATAATTTTTAAAAAATTATTTTTTATAACAATTTCATAATTATTTTTATAAAATATTAAAGCTTTACCAAATAGATCATCGCTTTATTTTTTTTTAACATTAGATCAATTTTAAAATACACTTAAAACAAAATTTCAATTACTCCATTTTTTTTTAACTTACTTTTGAATCTTTGATACAATCAAATATTTATATTTTCAAAGTGTCTATATTTTAAAATACGGTAAATTTAAAAATATTCCAAACAACTATAATACTTAGCCACCAACGGAGAAAAATTGTCAAACTTTGATAAAGAAAAAGAGAATTCGAAACCCTCTTCTTTCATGGAAGAAGTTGATAAGGAATAGATACGATAGGGGTGTCAACTTTTGATCAGACTCGAATTTAACCCGAAAAAATTTGGGTTTGGGTCAACCCGTTTGTGAAACGGGTCGGGTCCGGGTTCGAATTTCTGATCCGTTTGAAAAGTGGGTCGGGTGTCAGGTCAACCCGAAATGACCTGCTTTGCAAATCTGCTGCTCAGTGCTCAGGTCGCATCTGCGCTGCCCAAGTGCCTGTTAGGTTGTGTCCGCGCTGCTCGAGTGCTCGCCAGGTCACGTCCGCGTCAAATCACGACGTCGCATCCTCGTGAGGCATAGGGTGGAGTCTGCTGTATGCATCAGTGGCCGCCGTTGCCTGTCAATCCAAGGCTCCAAGTGTCTTGCATCCACGCTATCCAACCTGCACAACTGCGCTCTAGGCGTCCCGCGTCCGCATCGCTCGGCTCCGCATATATTTGAGTCGGGCCGTGTCAACCCGGCGACCCACACCGGTCGGGTTCGTGTTAACAAACCTGACCCGTTTGCAAAACTGGATCGGATTAGGGTCAACCCGTTTATAGGCGGGTCAAATCGGATTCGACTCGACCCGACCCGTTGACCAGAATGGACACCCCTAAGATAGGATATCATCCCTCTTCGTTTAAAATAAAAAATGATAGGGTTTATTTAAAAATTAGTTTGAAAATAGTTTTATAGCAGAGGTTTATTAAAAAAAAAATTATCTAAAACATTAAAACTTGCATCCGCGCCTAAATATTTATATAAAAAAACATATTTTTTATCTTTAAAAAATATATTTATAATACTCATAATAGATTTAAAAATTTTATTTTATCTACAATAACTTAATAAATATTTTATAAAAAATTGCATCAGCACCTCAAAAGTATTGATGTGAATAAACACAATAAAACAGAGCTATGCAAGGACTTATATTTTATTTGGGATGGTTTTTTTATTGCTTTTTAAAATAGAATTTTATTAAAAAATTAAAATATTTGTACTAAAACTCCTCCGTAAAATATTTATACTAAAACTCCATTTTAATCAACAATAAAAAAGTCTTCTCAAACGAAGCCTTAATCAAAATAGGCTTGGTGAAAAAAGTGATTGGAGCTTTGTTTGATACAACTTTCTAAAGTAATATTTTAGTACATCTATTTCTTGAAATCAAAAATTTTGTACTAAAAATTAGATTTAGAAAGCAGTAAAAAAATCATTCCAAATGAAACCCGAGTGCTCTCTTTATTGGGACTAACATAATGAGAGGAGCCAAGGGTCTAACATTAAGGTCAATTTGGGTTAATTACTTCAAGTAGATGCTATTAGGTCAAGTTGGGTTCATTAGGATTAAGTTCACAAAGTTAATCAATTTGGGTCTTGGTTTAGATCCTTATGGATACTAGATATCAACTTTACATAGGCTTAATTATCAATTTAGGTTGTTGGTTAAACATGCCAAATGGGGTAGATTGGGCCCATTTGGGTCAAAAATTAAGATTAGGCAAAATTTGGTCTAGGCACATGCATCTAAAGGTAGGGTTCTAGTAAAAGACTAATCGAAGTATAGGTTAACTCAAACTAGGTTAACCCAAGTTTGTTCTAGTAAAAGACTAATCAAAGTCTCTAAATCAATAAACTCAATGCAATTTCTCCTTATTCTCTCTATATTTCTCCATCAAACCTCTCAATAAATTTATAGCTTCCATAGTAGACCTACCTGGCATGAATCCAAATTGATTTTGAGAAACATTATTGACATGCCGCAACCTATGCTCCATAACTCTCACATAATTTTAAAGTATGACACATTAACTTAATTCCTCTATAATTCATACAATCTTGTGGATCACCATTACTCTTAAAAATAGGAATCAACACACTCATTCTCCACTTATCTAACATCTTTTTAGTCTTTAAAATAGTATTAAAAGTTTAGTAAGCTAATAAATTTCTTCATCTCCTAAGCATTTCCACACTTTTATTGGAATATCATCAAGTCCAACAGCTTTTTCACACTTTATTTTCTTTAAAGCCTCTTTTAACTTCAATTTAACCAATACGCCGATACAAAAAAAAAATCTTTATTTTCATTTAGGATGCTAAGGTCATTAAATTCAATCGCATTCTCATTATTTTTATTGAAAAGTTTAGCAAAATTTCTCATCCATCTTTGTTGAATACCCTCTTCTAATAAAAATACCTTTTGATCTTCATCCTTAATACACTTCACTTGAACTAAATCATTACTTCTCCTATCTCTTTGTTTAGCTAACATATACATATATCTTTCACCCTCTTAATATCTTATATATTATATAAATCATTGAAAGCTAAAGTATTTGCATTGCAAATTGCTTTCTAAGGCTCCTTAAGGGTCTCTTTATATCTTTCTCAATTATAAAAAAATTTACAGTAAAATTAATTTTTAAACATATATTTTTTATTTTTTATCCTTTAATGCACATTTTGATCCCACCATCAACTATTTTTATTATTAGTAGTTTTTTCCTTTGATACCCCAAGCATATATTTTGCAACATTCTTAATATCACTAGCTACTTTTTTCAACATAACATTAGTATCCTCATGCATAGAAAAAATCTTAAGATATGTAATCTTACTTTCAAAAATATTTTTATTAATATTCTTTAAATACCCACATTTAATCCTAGAATAACAATTTACTTTATTCATAATTTTCTTAAAGTCTGAAACTAAATTTTTACTTGGAATAATTTTATAATCTTTGCAATTTAAACGATCTATTTTTTTTTTATAAAAAAATAATCAATCTGAGTTTTACTACATCCATTCTTGTAATGATGAGAAACTCATCTCTTTTCTTAAATACGATATTAACAATTATAAAATTATAAGCTAAAGAAAAATATAATATGATCTTACCACCTTCATTAGTCGCTCCAAAGTCATAGCCACTATGAATGCTTTTAAAATCATTCACCTCTCTACTAGCATGTCCATTTAAATCTCCTCAAATAAAAACTCTTTCTTCAAGAGTTGTAAGCGCTTATAATATTAATCATCTACCTCTTTACCTACTTGAGAAGTATAATAACTTATAATATTAATAATCTAAACCCTAAACAACAATCTTTAAAGCTATAACTATATCTCCAATTCTATTAATTTTTACAATATTATCCTTCAAACTTTATATTTATAATCACACATACATCATTTTTAATACGACTAATACTAGAATATTATAATTTAAATCATAAACTATCAATCTCCTTAGACTTATCTCCAATCCATTTAGTTTACTGAATGCAAAGAATATTTATCTTCTTATCGATTATAATATTTATTTATTCCATTAATTTACATGTAAGGAAACCTATATTCCAAGTTCAAAAATAAAAATTTATTATAATAATTTTATATATAATAGTCATGCTTCATGCTAAAAAAAAAATCAAAGACACAAAATGAGGACAAATACAGATGTGGGCCTTTGACGATATTTTTTGGACGCTAAGAGACAAAACCTTACGCTTGTGAGGGCCAAAAAAACCATAAATTGTTTGTTTGCAGGTGCCTTGATCTAACCGTTATAAATTTGATAAAAAAGAGAAAAAAAATTCAGTTCAGATTTTTTTTTCGAATTTTAATATTTACACGAAAATTTCAAAAAATGATATATAATAGTGTCAGCATTGTTAATAATTTTTTGTAATTGAACATTTACTGACCTGAGCGAAGTCGTTGGCTTCTCTAAGTTGACTTCGCTCATGTGGTATCAATCCAACTTGGCACTTACTCACTAAGAGCATCTCCAACCGAACGTCAAATGTGTGTATGGCGTCGTTCGGTCGCTCCAGCCGAACGTCAAACGTGTGTATGGCATCGTTCGGTCGCTCCAGTCGAACATCAAATCTTCCGTCATTTACTTGCGAGTGAACAATGCGACGCCAATATTGGCGTTGCACTGTTCACCTACGCTATTTTGCTCTCTCAACCGGAAAAACACGTGAAAGGGAGAATGATCGTTACCTTCGCAGAAGTACTTAAAATGCAATTTGATTGGCAGCACCACGGCATTTTGCAGCTTTGCTGTATTTTGCGCGAAAAATGGAGTTCTCCATTGGAGATGCCATAAGGCTTCGGAAGAACTTGCTCAAGACAGCTCATTTTGATATGTTAGTACAGAACTTTAGCTACTAATCAAGAGATTTTGGATTCGAGTCTCACGTATGTGTTATGTGTAGTGATGTAAACGAGTTGAGTCAAATCGAGTTAGGCCTTATTGAGCTTGGCTCATTAATCAGAAAGCAACTCGAGCTCGAGCTCGTCCCACAATAGAAGCCAATTGAAGGATCAAAAGAGTGGCCAAATTATGGAAAA